CGTATCAACATTTTTTTCTATTCATCTACAGTAATTTGTTATTGATTTTTAACATCAAGGGAGGCTTTGAAAAATAGATTTTACAATTGTTTAGTTGCAGTGAACACCTGGCATAGTACACAAAAGCCTAAAGAAATCAAGGCATGTGTTGCATCTCCACCTGCTAGCTTTAATAAGCCTACATCTTGACAGACATTGCTATCCCAAAGTGTTCCCTTTCCCACTGCACCAGCCTGCCGCCTTTTGCAAATCTCTATACTATCAGACACATTTGTGGGATTTAAACTTATCTTTTAGTAATATTACCTAATACCCCCTATAGTTACAGGAGTGTGGGTTATTGTAGATTCTAGGGCCTTCATCAGGTCAATGACATGATCAGTCATTCAGTCTGTCGTTTTCAAATGTCTCCCAGTTCGATGAATTAAGGTCTAACTTCATTGAACAGCTGGTCATTAATTCAGTAGGCCACTAAATCTGAATCTCTGCTGCCTCTTTCTACAGCATTTTATTTTTCAACAATGATGACCTGTCCCTCTGCCCCCACTTGAATCCCTTCCAGTTCCCCTTCTCTGCTTTTCTGCCCAAACGTGTCTCTTGGTTTGAGCCTGAATCTGTTTCTCAGCGGGAGCTCAGAGCTGCCTCTTAGCCTGTGTCTTTTCACTAGCTTGTCCTTTTTTGTTTACTGGCCCAGTATGTATCTGTCCATCAAGCTTTGCTCTATGTGTCGCTTAAAGTTTGTTCCAGTATTATGACAGAGCCGACAAAGCCTGTTTTTCTGATTCTATTCCCTGCATCTCTCCATCCATCCTTTTTCTAGGCTTTAGCTCCGGTTTGTCTCCATTTATATGCAGCCCAGTCAGTATGTCCATCAGGTCTCCCTCAAAGCTCTGCCCCAGTCTGTTTCTATTATCATCCTGCACTCTTTGGTCTCTCCTACAAACATTGTCCCTCAGTGTCTAACCCCTTGTTCTCAGGTCAGCCTGTTCTCTTGTGATCCAGTTTCTCATCCAATAATCCTTAACATGTCTGTGAAATAAAAAGCAGCTTCTCCAGACCACAGGACCAACTCAAGAGCAGCTACCTTTCTACCCACACAACAAAGCTGTCACTACCAAAGTTACTGCACCTGTGCTTTTTACAACCTGAGGCAATGAAATATGTTATCCACCGGCTGGCATGAAGTTTATAGAAATCGTTGCGTGGTCAACCTTGCACATCCTCTCTCTCGGGTCAATCTGTTCCCTGAAATGTTCTATTTTTCTGCTGAGTGATGGCTTGACTGTGTCTGGCATCTTGATCAACTTGTGGGGGACATTGCAAGTGTTCAATTTGCCGACACATTGACAATGCAGCCAAACTTTGCTAGTTCTTTCCTTTCACAATAAAAACCCTACACATATTCACTGCATCACTGCTTACCAAGGATAAATTACTTATGGCGCATTTCCACTACACGGCCTCGCTCGAGCCTGGCTGACTTCGTTAGGACTGGCTCGCTCGTTAGGACTGGCTCACTTTATGGCGCGTCTCCATTACAGTTTAGGAACTGGGGTAGTATCTATAGTAACGCAGTGTAGGCGGAGCGATCAGCTTGTTGTTGTCCTTCACTACGCGATACTCACTCTTCATCTTTTTCAGTTTTTCCCTACACTGCAAGACAGTCCTCGAGTAACCGCTTCCGCACATCAGTGTAGAGACCTCCTGAAATACTTTCATATTGCGAGTTGTCCCGTCGAGCTCCCGCTGGATCTTGTCATCACTCATCTGCAATAAAGTGTAGGAACGTCGTAACTTCCTCGGCGGACCACGTGTGCTGTTCTTTGCCATTTTTGTTGATCCTCTGTTAACAAAAATGCTGTTTATAAAAATGCTTCAAGCTTCGCTATATATATATATTTATATGCGATGATTCTCTCTGACCAATCAGCAGTCGAGAGTGACGTCACAGCCTGGTTGTTCCTGGCCCTAGAACCCCGATTTTATGGGGCCAGAAAAACTGTGAATTAGGACCCGCTAGCCGGTACTAGGCCAAGTGGAAACGCAACCAAAAGCGGGCCGCTGACGTCACAGCCCTCTTAAACGGGGCTCCGCGCTGTAGCGCCATTAGAGTGCTTCAAGAAGCAACTGAACAAACTGCTGTATTATTTATCACAAAAATGTATGTCTGTATTTATAATGGATGTTCCACAAGCCGAAGTTAATCTGGCTTTTCAATTGTAAAACAGCAATGATGTAACCAACGGTGCAGAGAAAATGGTTTGAAGTGTTTTTTTTCATTTTTCCGATGAGCTCACTTTAAAGTCCTTTACATAGAGTTCCCTAGATAGTGAATGAGTGAATTATTTCACACATAGCCTCAGACTATTTCTCACGTTATTCCCAGTGTGTAGGATTTTCCAGAATCCTGTTCTGCCTCACCTGCCCTCCAGTTGCCCTCACTGAGTTTCCCTCCTTTATAGGTCACCTGACCTTGTTGGTTGCCTTACCAGCTGCTCCTCATGCACAATTAACCCCAGTGAATACACAGAGGTCATGTTTTGCCTATTGTTTATTTATTTATTGTAGTTGAGGCATTCCTGCCAGCATGTTTGTGGCGTATAATGTCAACCATCTAGATCTCCTGTAGTATTTCCCTTTGTTGCCTAGCTAACTACTTTTTCTGACTTATTACCAGTAGCGTGGCGTGGGAAAAAAATGCGGAGAAGCCAATAATACGTCCTTTCTTTTGGGTCGGGGGTGTGGTGGTCAATGTAATAACGTAACCAGATGAGTGATTACAGCACCCGGTATCATTTTTAGACACATTTGTATCATACAGATGCAGGACTTACACACGCCTGTTATCTAACCGACATGTCCGCACGCACTCTCCAGCCCAAACTCTAATAAGCATTCATTCACAAACTAAATCAGGAGACCTTTAACGTCTTACGTCCGATTCGCTCCTTTTCCCCTCGCTGTACACAGCTCCAGTTTGGGCATCGGCCTGTCATCAGATTGTATTTGTTGTTGCTGCTGTAGCGGAAGTTTAGTACAATTATTTTTGAGTAAATACTCCAAATCTCCACCCTCCATAATTGCACTTGCTTCAGTTGCTTGCTACTTTCTAACGGCGGTGAGAGTGGTACAGTGGCGCTATCTATCTTCTATCGATTAGATTTATGATTCAAAAATTATAAAAGTAGGGTAGACATGTGGATATTATCCGACTTAACAAAACGTGCATTTATCTAACAGGTTCGTTTTCCACTGACCTTATATCGAGCTATTTTCCAAAATCCTATGGAGAAATCTCGTTGCTTTTTTGTCGAGGGAAACCGAGAGCAGCTTACTTCCGGGTTTTAGGATGCGTCACTGCAACACTAAATTGATGCGATTTGATTGGATTGTGAGGCAAGGGAAGCCAGCCGCCTCTGGCTTCCCTTGGCATGGCCCTGACCAATCACAAGTTGGCAGGGGCATCACGTGAGCCTCATCTGATTGGTCAATCTCTCCTTCTTTTTTCACCAAGGGAAGCCAGATTCGGCTGGCCTCCTCTCGCAACAGAGAGTGCAATCTACTGTTTCACCATAACATCTAGAGGGGCGCTGTTTCACTCTTTGTAAAATACTCAATGAGAATGGGGGAGAGACGGGCGGCAGCAACACACAACAAAGAATTTACGAAACTAAACAAAGTGTTTTTATTTATTTATTAAAATTCTAACTACACTCCGAAAAAACAGGGGAAGCCTGGCTTCCCTTGGCCTCCAGGAGAAAACGCCACTGCTTATTACTGGTCTCAAGCCTTCCTGTTTCTAACTATTCGACCGTCAAGCAACATATTCTTTATAGGTATTTTTTAGTGTCTGAATTTGTTATTGGATCCACAGCCTAATATTTGTAACGACTGAGTTATCAGATGAGGATTTTTTCTGTGGCTTTCGCACATGCAAAACAATCAATCTATGCTGAGTTTTATAAGGACTCATAATGTGTCTCCTTTAATCTGTTTTCTTGTCTCTTTCTCTCGATCTCTCTTTCCCTTAATGTCTAGGTCTCCCCCCATGCATCACTTCAGAAAGTCTTTATACAATCATTTGAAATTAGAGGTAATGCTGATGTAGATGCTGCTATATAAAGTAATGGATGATGTGAAGGCAAAAACTGCTGCGCTATCAAGTCAATTATTTGTTTATATTGGTTCAGCCTTGTGTGTTTTATAGCACTTATACCATGGCTGCTTCCCAACAGCAAAAGGAAATGCTGTGTAGTAGTAGAAGTATTTTGTTGTAGTGACTTCGGTTTAAGTTTCATTCAGATCGTCAAACTGATTGTTCCACATTTTACAGTGTTGAAGAACTGCAGTTCAAAAAATAAAATAAATAAAATAAACCTCAATAAGAGGAACCATGGTTCCTCTTATTGAGTTTTATTTTAGGAATTCCAGTTTTTCCAAAAGGTCAATAAGTCAATGGCTCTTCAGTTATTAGTTTATTTTATACATGCTGCTCTCTCTTTGTATAAAAGGTTTTTAAAAATATGTTTGTAGTATCAACAAAAAAGGAAGTTGATCTCAGCATTGTCAGGTTCGGGTCATCAAACCACAAGATACCTCTATGTTCTAACACTGTAAATCAGGCATTTTTTTGTCTTTGAGAATCTTTATTTCAGATATTAATGTACACGGCAGCCATTGATAATGCAAGATGAAATATTGCACTAAATACCAACTTTTGAGACATAGACATGCAGAGTGGGCGGGCTATATGACACATTTCTGGAATATATATCAATCGTGTGTGTGTGTGTGTGTGTGTGTGTGGGTGTGTGTTGTGTGTGTGTGTGTGTGTGTGTGTGTGTGTGTGTGTGTGTGTGTGTGTGTGTGTGTGTGTGTGTGTGTGTGTGTGTGTGTGTGTGTGTGTGTGTGTGTGTGTGTGTGTGTGTGTGTGTTGTGTGTGTGTGTGTGTGTGACTAGAAACATGTGCATATAGACACACACCGCACTGAGAGAAGGAGGCGCGCTGATCCTCAGTCGGTGTGTGAGGGAACAGTACACACACACTTTCTCGCTCTTTCGCTCTAGTATACTCTCTCTCTCCTCCTCCTCTCTTTCTCTCTTTATTTCTCTCTCTCTCTATCACTCTCTCTCTCTCTCTCTCCTTTTCTCTTGCGCTTGCACGGAGTGAGAGCGGCATCGGGAAGGGAAGAATGAGGAAGAAGTCGGCTGTGTTGCGCGCCTCGTCCCAACAAATGCGGGTTTGCTGATGAAGCTCCGCTCCGGTTATCCGATCATACAGGTCTTACACGTCCCGCTGCATGGAAACGAAGAGTAGGCAACAACTGAAAACAACAGCAACAAATAAAAAGCTGTCAGTGCATGGGAATCCGGACACCTCTCCCTCTCTTTTGTGCGTCTCGCTGTGTGGATACGCTGCCTTGGCTGGCGTATAAGAGCTCCCTGCGTCTCCATTACCATTCCCCACTACTGGCTTACCTCTACTTCTCCTCCTCCTCCTGGTTCTGCTGCTAGTAGAGCTTTAGTCCGTTTTTACTACTGACTGCCTTCTCCGGATTGTGGACACTTTCTGGATAAACAGGTAGGATATTCTGCAGTTTTTTTTGGGTACGGTTTCAGAACAAGGGACAATCATGGTAGTGATACTGAACGCCGGTGGGCTTTGGCTCACGCCGCATTGTCTGGTGGAAGCAAGTTAATTTATGGAGGGAGGGATGTGGAGTGGACGGTGTTGCCTCATGGAGCACAGATGGAAGACTTGAAAGTACCATGCGTCGGAAGGGTTTGGATGCGATGTGGAAACGATGTTTCCTCACCCCATCCTCCTGCAACGCGCTGTCCACACTGCGCCTCTCCACCTCTTTGATTCAGAGATGTAGGCTATAGACAGAGGAGCACTGGTTTTAAAATCACTGGTTGCAGTTCATTTTTTTCTTTAAAATGTGCAACTAGAGGCTGTTTCTTTTGGTTTAAGGGGCTTTTATATTCTTATTTTGCCCTTTACCCCCACCCTCTTTCCCTGCCCTCCCCTCGCTTATTTTTAGTGGAATAATAATTACGGATGCAGAGCACGTTCAGATAACCAGGTTCGCACCCTTTTTATAGGCTTTCAATTTGGAAGTTGGCTGACAAACATGCGCAGTCTAGTAGTATCCTTTTAAAGCACGAATGGCCCATTTGCAAAAGTGCACAGAAAGCCACAATTGCGCAATTCTGCACGTCCCCATCCTTTGCGACAAACCATATTGGCACTGATGGACTGCCTTTGCACATCAGGGCAGAGCAGGTTGGGCTGGGGGGGGGAATTCCGAGCCCTGCCACTTTTTCATTCATGTTTCTGAATTTAAAATGGATCAGTTGGGTTTTTAATAGTGACATTCTAGAACAAATACTTATGTTAGCCTTTGTCTGCTGTGTTATAAAAGATACATCAACATGGAGAGATTCAGTTAGCTTTAAGCCTGACATGTGTACTGTTTAAATTAGAGCAGGCAGCAGACAGCGGCTTTTCATTCTCCTGATGTGACACTAACGCTTCGTCTTGTGAGGAGCGCTTGGCACATCAGGCAGGTACAATCAAGGCTTTCCAGGCAATTTTTTTCCCAGCTGACTCCAGTCGAGGGGTTTATGAGCATGACACAGAGGAGCTGAATCTCATCCATTGTGGATGGTATGAAATATTTATTTATGACAATGAAAAACTGAAACGCAGCCTGAGCTTTTTACTGCCTTATTTACCTCCCAGCAGTGGTGCAGTTGGTGATGGGATTTAAGATCTTGTGGCGATGCAGTGGTGAGGCTTCATCACAATAAAACGGGTTCAGGTTAACACAAGTGATGTATTTTGCAATAAAAGCTGACCTTTCTCAATGTCTGATGCTCGACTCTTGCCGTATCTCATGAGGAGGCCTATTCTTAACCTGATTGCGGAGAGATTATGGCACCATGTTGGAAATAAGTCATTGGCTAAATGGCTGAGACGAGGCTGAGTTGGAAGAAGGGATAGAACAGATTGTTTCTCTTGGTTTTTTTGTAATATTGCTGAAAATGTATATCTCCATCATGATGTTTATTGATGACTTTAGCCTAGAGGGGTATTGGGCGCCTACCGGTCAGAGGGTAATGGTTAGATTCCCATCCCCCGCAGTCAACATGTTGAAGTATCCTTGACCAAAAATGTTCCCGTAGGAAAGTCTAGGTAAGCTTTCTCTGACTTGGTTGTTGTTGGTTGTGGTTCGTGTTAACAAAGGATTGGTCACCTTCAAACTCGACACCGCACTTCCTTTCTGCCTGCCATGACAGCTGCCCTGACATAGTTGCATACCAAAGCAAGGCTATGCAAATAAAGTATAATAGACGAAGAGCAAGACATACACAAGATGCTGTTTGGGGGTGTAACAGTCAATCATCTCAATACATAACGAAGTGTGTACAGAACGCACTAAAAATAAATGTCACACAGATCTCAGGGGCTTGCACTCAACAACTTCCTTGAGTCCACAGCAAATAACCCTCCAAGTGTACATTTGATCAGGTCAAGTTATTTGTACAAAAGATCTAGATACAGTATGTGCGTATCTACATTTGTACATGCATAGGCTACGTATATACACACATTTCATCATAGTTAGAATAAACAGACTTAATGTGATCCATATCAGTTACTAATTGTTATAGGACAAACATGAAATATTTTTTGTGTTAGACTTACTCTTAAAAAGTTTAAACTGTTTTTTCCCTGCAGATTTTTATGTTCCCACGCCTACGCACCAAAAAGCTGTCCTTGTCTTTTTATGAAAGGGGAACCTGTTAATTCTTGTTTACTGTAAACGGGGTTCTTTCATGACATAGACCAGTCAGGTAAAGTGGAGTATTAGGGGGAAAAGCGAAAAAGCTGCTGATTCTACTGCAGATCAGCCAGTCCCAATTGTACCTGCTTTTTCATATTCTTAATAAATACAGAACAGTTATCATAATATATACAAATAAATATTGAATAACTGTAATGAGCCTTAAGTATTTTGGAGAATGAAACCTGCACTGTACTGTATGCATAGCCAAGGCAAATCCTTCTGAAGTGCATGGTGATACAATGTGTAGTCACCAGCATCACAAACATCAAATATTTAATCTATTAGAGATCTATTTGGAGGTTGATGGGTTATCTTCAAGCTAACCATCCAGTGTAAGTCATTTGTAGTTGTGCTTGTGTGTTAATAAATGCAACCCAACTGTCAATTGTAAGTCCTATGCTTATTATGTGTACGGTTACATAACAACTCCTTCTGATTGATACGTAGTCATGTCTGTAAAAACACAAAGCAAATAAATCATTGTTATGTTAATCTAAGTAAAAGCATTTTAAACCAATCATCCAGTCATTGGGAAGACTGGCAGCCTTTATTGGCCTGTACACTGCATTTAATGCTGAATCTTATGATGCACACTTTGTAAGATTTGTTGGCAGAAATGCAAAATCTTCATAGCACAAAACCAAGAGGATGCTTTTCTAACATCTAAAGGATCAACACAGTAGCCTGTAAATGTTTAGTTTTTATTTCTATTTCTAATAAACCGAGCCAGTGGTGGCTTAAGATCCTTGACAAAAATAACAGTGTTGACTGAACATACTGTGGGCTGATTCTAGAAAACAGCAGCAGTAAAAGTAATGCTATAGGACAAAAAAGAGGCTACACATATCATCTAAACCATAGCATGTACCGATTTTAACGAGCATTATGAATAATTAGATAACAACTCTTTCTGTTGCGTCCTTGCAGTCAGTGGATGTACAGAGTCGGCACAACGCCCCACAAGGACAGTAATATAAAATATATATATCCAAAAAATATGGATGAATCCAAACAAGGTTACATGCGACACATAGCTAAGTATGACGAAAAGCATGAACAGAGGATTCAAGACACATTTACATAACATATCAAGATGTTTGTCTCGGATTACCCTTCTCTTTCGAACTATAAGAACGTTTTTTCGTTGATAGATAGAGAAAATACTGATACTCGCTGTAGATTCAATATTATCATCTTATAGGTGATATAAGTAACATGCAAGAAATCCTTTAGATTAACTGGCATCCTGTTAGAGACAACATTAGCACTCATTTGTGTTTCTGTTCATCCGACAAATGTGAGTCAATAATTCTGTCTTTTTGCTTTGTTTGGTCTCCACCAACTCCTGAGGGCAACAACTGGGTCTTCTGCAGCTATTTGTTCAATGTTGTTAACCCGCTACAGTAGTAGCTAACTTTATCTGACGGCAGTTAGGCGTGTATAGTACGTTTATAAGAACTAATGACTGCACTTAGAGTGAACCAAAACAGCAACGGTAAAACCAAAACATTGAACTCAAAGAAACTAAAAGGCTGCGTAGATCGTTATCTGTGACTTTGTCGTATTAGTCATAACAATATAAACCTATTGACAGTACAGTATTATAATTAGAGCAGGTTTTAGTGTATGTCGTCAAGGTTTTGTATATATGTAATAATTAGATCAAGATAAATACATGAAACCTTGAGGCTTTGACTGTTTTCCCGTGGCATGTAACATGTTGTTAAAATCGAGGGAAAAAAGCTATTTAAACTGACAATACCAGCCACCCCTTGAAGGAGAGTTTAATGTGTGGATGGATATTGGATGATTGTGTGCCTTTGGCTAGTTCTTCTCCAATAAATGAATGAAGCACTTGAGATAAGGGAAGCCATTTATTTGACTTAAACATTTTTTAATGATTGTTTCATGTTAAATTGCTTGTTTCCCATATCTCATTATCACTTCCCCCCGTGAACATGTCGCTCATCACAATCCAGACAGACAGATATGGAGGTATTGTCAGTGGAAAGAAAGAATGACACACAGTAGGATATAGCTCTGTGTTATTCAGAGCCAGTCTGATCATTTCTGCCACTCTAAGTGTAATAACGTGTCAAAGTGTCTTTGCTCCAGGACTGACTGAGAGGCAGATCCAGGCTAAAAGAGCTCGACATCACTGCAATGATGGTAACCACACACCATAAATCTTCACTTGCTTGCAGGGCCTTTGTGCGTTAGTGTGTGTGTATTGTGTCCTACTTACACAGCAACATTACAAAGGAATACCTCTATTTATATATAAAGAAAAGTTATACAAGTATATTAGGTTACCTTACCTTTCCTTCTGACTCTTTCTCTCATTCTCTTTTCCTCAATGACTCTGTTTCATTCACTTCATCTTTCTCCTTCGGTCTGTCTTTCGCTTTCCATCCCTCCCTCCTCCCTCCATTTACTTTTCCATACTTCATTATATTTCCTCACTGACAAATGTAGGCGATCGTGCCCTACCACGTAGCGAGTAAAACGTCAGGCTGCACCTCGAAGCAGCAGGCTCTGTGTTTTTCCTGCATCAAAAATGGCTTATTTTGTTGGCATGTACGTATGCATCAGCATCTACTCTGCTTTTGAATAATTCAACCACTGTATCACATCTAAAAACTCGTATTCTCTGCATGATTTAGCGTCTTATGGACATCTTGGGTTTATGGAAAAAAGTGGGATCATGTCCTTTGTCTTTCCTCTTTTCTCTGTTGCTAGTTTTTCTTTTTAGCTGCCTTCTTGACACCTTGGGGTGCTGCCTTCAGAGTCCCAGAGGAATGACAGTTTTAGGGCAGAAAGGGAACAGCTTGCCTCAGTGCAGCACATTAGCTTGCTTATCTAAACGTTATGTATTGTTCTTTTGATTTTGTGTGTGTGGTGTGTGTGTGTGTGTGTGTGTGTGTGTGTGTGTGTGTGTGTGTGTGTGTGTGTGTGTGTGTGTGTGTGTGTGTGTGTGTGTGTGTGTGTGGTGTGGTGTGTGTGTGTGTGTGTGTGTGTGTGTGTGTGTGTTGTGTGTGTTGTGTGTGTGGTGTGTGTGTGTGTGTGTGTGTGTGTGTTGTGTGTGTGTGTGTGTGTGTGTGTGTGAGCCAGGTTTTAAGGTCATGACACTAGGGGAAATCATAGTGGGATATTCTGAAACATGATAGTTAAATTACCAAATCCAAAATAGCAGCCACTGTTAAGCAGCTAAGCCTCTCTCGTGTTAACAGCAGCCGTGTAAACATACACTCTTCAGCTGGGTGCTGATACCAGCCAGGGCATCCATTTTTCCTTTATCTAATAGCAGGTAATGATTCTTGTGCAGTCAGTCATTCCCACAGGATGTGTTTTGTGGCCGTACAGCAAAAACGGGACTATAAGCAGAACAGGTAATGATCTGCAGGGACATCTCCTGATAAAGTGATAAGTAATCAAGAGTGTGTAAGCAAAGTTTACTGAGGACCGGCCGTGAGGTTGAATTTTAAGCAAGTCGTTGAGAATAAACAGAGCAAGGAACAGAAAGCAGAGAACTGACTCTGGGTTATAATATATGCATTTTGTTAGGTAAAATACAACACAGTGCTTAGTATAGTATAACATGTATTATTAACCATCCATTGCGTTGGTGAAACAATTAGGAAATGCAAATGGCAGCAGCTACAGAAAGAAAGAAAAATCTTGTAGGTGTTTTTATTTTTTTTCAAACATCTCTTTATTCGTTTGTATGCACAGAAATGACACTCAATAAACAAGACTTTACATACTATCAGCAAAACAAACAAAAAAGAAAGAAGAAAAGAAAATGGAAACACAGCCCAAATAATATTCAAGTGTGTTCATTCTCCCAGAGACCATTAAGCTCCAGGAAGTCATAAAAGGTTTTCCAGATTTCCCAAATCCTATCCAGTTTGTTTTTAAGGAAACCATGTATCCTTTCAAGAGCAAGGTAGAAAGTCATCTCTTTCAGTAATTGAGAAAGTCTTGTATGTGCTTTTGTAATCTTATTTTACCTCCCAGAGTCACTGAACATATCCAAAATACTCAGAAACCTTTTGTAAGGCACTGCCAACCACTTTTGTGTGAGGACTGAAGAAGCTGCCATAACATTGTTGTATACAATTAACCATTCGCCCATTTATTTCAGCTTCCCTATTCAGTGGGATCATGCCGATCAAAACAAAGCATAGAAAATGAATCCACTTCGATCATTGTTTGATTGGATAGTTTAAGAGGAGACAATATGAGCAATACAAGACTGTGGGTATTACAATGCTTCCATGTAATGCAATATAAAAACCTGAGCTTCTAAGCATCATTTCACCTCATGAGAGGGAGATTGTATACCTCTAGTGCTCAGACATTAATTTATTACACACGAAATAGTAATATACAATTTATACTGATTACACAAACGGATACAAAGTGTTGTTTAGTGAGATTTTATGGCACTGCTAAACTGATTTATTTGTTTTCACTTAGAGCCAGGCTACCCGTTTCCGGTGATTAGGCTAAGCTAAGCTAATTAGCTTGTAATTGAACTTTGGGATTTTAGCCTCTGCAGACCATTTACATGCACAGAAACCTACAGTATATAAAACACTAAGGAAAGGGGAAATCCCAAAAAGATTAAAGGGCCTCTGTAAGGGTGAGGTTGAAATTGTTTTCCTACCTGTGGTGAATCTATTAGACTCCAACTGGTTTGTATGAGCCTTGACTGTTTTTAATGGCTGCCTCCTTTGAATGTGGTTTTCTCTTTGACATAAAGCCATTCAAGTGTTGACGTCATGATGGGGTAACAGCAAGGTTGGGATATAGTCATCATTACATTTTATTATCATGGTATACTTTACACACCCTGATAATGATACAATTCTAACTATTTCTTACATTTTCATTCATACATTTCTGCTCAACTTGCCTAACTTACCTATAGTGCATTCACTTGTGCACAGAAGCAATAGAAAATGCACTCTACTGTTTAGAAAACGGCTAGAATATAGAAGCTCTTTAGCCGTCAGCCTGTTGTATAAATGACATCCTTAAGTGAAAACTACTAAATCCCTAAGCACACTGAATTATTGATCACTTGGAAATGCCATAGTAAGCCTTGTGTGGTCCCACAAGAAGGCCATTAAAGGCAAAGAGCTTCTGAAACACATTAGGAGGGAAATGTTTATTGTGGTAGTGATGAACAGTAGTTTAATTAAGTAGACATGTAATTTTGTTTGCAATTGATTTTCTTAACAAAAGGGTCTCATATCTCAGCTGAGCCCCAGCTAGAGACACATCAACATTCAAACCAACTACTATTCACACTGATGCAACCCAATACTGTAAATTCACCATTATGGTCTGATCACAGTAACTTATTTATCTAGCAAGAAACCATTAGGCACAGCACACATATTCTCTATTTATTATATATTGAATGAACATCCACACATTGACTACGTTCGCTGTGGAAATGGATTATGTGTTGTTCATTTAGCTTCTAATAGTGCCAGGGCCCTACGGCTCCTAAGCCTCGCTTCATGTAATGTAAGAGAAAATGTGATTCATATTGTTAGGGCCTTTACAGCCTCATATATAATGAGTATTGTGGTAAGAGGAAACGCAGGAAACTACTAATGTAACTATTGATGTCGGGGGGAATTGTGCTGCTTCTGCATGTAAGAGTGTGAACAATTAATTATCAGGAAATGGATGTTGGCATGCAGGGATGTGGAAGAAGCTTGTTTGAGGAGATTTCTAAGCTGATCCTTGTTTCGGGTCTTGGTTCTTCTTATTGATCCCTGATTAAAAGGATGACTACTCTTGTGTGTGCAGCAGTGCTGAAACTACAAGGTGTACAGAGTGGTAACAGTTTGTAACTGGGTAAATCAGATGAGATGGTGAGTAAAGAGAGGACCATCAACACGTGTGTGCTCACATGCCAAAGGTACACAACTCAAATATGTCAATCAACCTATGTTGTATTCTCTACAAATGGACATAACCAATACTTAGAGTATATCTAGCCTTGTGCCGATAACACAATCAGATCGCAAATCAAGGATTGAAAGAGATCATTGATGATTATTTTCCACTGCCCATATGAGGGTGATTTCACGATCACATCAAATATGTTTTAAACATCTCTCAACTATTTGTACCTGGTAGAGTGGCATGTCACCTGACGGATACATGAATACTGAACCACAGCACAAAACACAAATAAGGACAAGCAGTCTTCCATTGTGTCACTGCTTGTAGACGTCTCAGCTCCATAGAGAATTCATGGGCACACAATCTGTCTGGGAACTTTGTTATTCAGTATATTTGGCAGCACTGAAAGGAATCTTTTTATTTTTCTTCTTATCCCCTAAAACCTCAGGAGAGGATGTGTGTGTGTGTTTTAGAAAGTTGTGCTTTACCATGGGATCACCCACATCCCTTTCCCTTCACCTGCTTCCTTTATCCTAACAAACACTACCTATGCACATTGACTGCCTGTGTATTTGGGAATACGTTTTTGACTTCCTATTTGGAAGGTATTGCATGGTCAGACTCCCAGTTACTGTATGTTGATCCCATTCAGTATGAATCATAACAGTCCATATCACCGGTCATCTCTGAATCTGACAAGACATTCATAAACTACTAATTTAAATACTTTTTGTAAGAAACATAATTACCTACAGGTTACATTTGCTGTCAACACAATGAAAAAAACGTTGTAAATGAATGTATCTACTTTTTCCTTTTCTGTAACGTACATGTTAATTGTGCGACAATAACGTTTTTTTGTTAGGATTATCAGTCCTGCATACACTTGTACATCTAATTACACAAAATGTGAGTAGTGTATGGTCTAGCCTGATTACCGTAGAAGTTAAGAACAGATGGATTCATCTCTCCATGGAAAATGGCCCAATAATGTGCAATTTGCTTGTTATAAATGGTAACTGCACTGTGTATGTGTTGGGCTTCAGGGACGCTTTTATTTAATTTACATTAATTATTTGCTAATTATGTTTCCTCTGTATTCAATTCAGCATATTTTTGTGTTTGAGTGGAAGCAAACGAGCGACTGATTTGAAGGATCAGTGTTGGGATTTTGTGGTCTCTTAGATAGTGACCTAGTTTAGGCAAAAATCTCACTGCACTTGAAATGCTGGAGTGGGTTATTTGTGTACATAGCTAGGCAAACAAAGACAAGTGATACCCAATCAAATGTTTTTTTAGTTTACATTGTTGGAGAGAAAGAGACCAATACCCTATACCCACAGTATTTAACCACCATTAAACTACTAACCACTATTTAGGAACTAGATAACCCCTTGGAATGAAAATACTTCAAATGCTTTTTTTGTGAGGGATTGGTTGATTCATTGATTAGTTATCTTGCAAGCCAGTTTAAAAACAATGAGTTTGGATTACATTACCTGTTAGAATGGCTGCCTGGCTTCAAAGCTGTATGGTAATTGAAATGCCAGTGTTGTTGACAGAAGTCAACCCGTCTGTTATCAGGGAGGGCCACTCCTCGGGTTGCATGAGGAACAGCAGGGTATTATTGTTGGAGGAATGTGGCAATTACATTTCAGAAGCTGCTCCTTGAAAATATAGAGTGCCGAACTCAGGAGCTGAAGTTTATCTTTGGCGTGGTTGTATGAACTTGCTGACCCTTAACAACTTGGCAAACATTGAATGTGAAACATATTTTTTTGTTTTGGTGGTGCTGTGTTTTTGAGGTTTTTAATGCCTAAAAGTGAGCAGCCACCTTGTTTTGAAATCTGCAAAAGTTACGTGAGAGTGAGTGTTATTTACACACAGAAGATGATTTTATCTTGCACTGCTTGAGCATTTACTAGGAGTTAGAACATATTTAAGCCGAGTTCATGACTCCTCAGTTTAAACCAAGATGTTTCATCGTCTGATACAACACAGTTTCTTGTCGTCTGTACCATCTACATATTTGAGATAAAAAAGGGATAAGAGTTGGTAACTGCTTAAATATGTATTGAAAATTCTAAATTAGAAAGAAGAAAATCCAACCTAAACACTACATCCATAATGTCACATTATAACATTTATTAAGTCTATGATGGTCTAATCTGAATCTTTCTCCTCTGTTCCCTCTAAAGGTTTGATATCCTCATAAATCGTCACCTAACGGTGCTGGTTCGGACGTCATCATGGGTCGCTGGGATCACTCATCCCTCCTGTCCCCTGCCCTGAGGGTAGCAGTCTTCACGGTGATCATCCTCCTAAAGCTCGATCCCTCTTTGGCCGGCACTCTGCCTGAGCAGAGTTTCGATGGCTCAGTTTTAGCGGTGTCCACCAACAAAACGGAATGCAGCATGGCTGAGCCATGCGCAAAAGGGGTGGTCCTTCCTATTTGGGAGCCTCAGAACCCGTCATTTGGTGACAAAGTGGCCCGGGCAACAGTTTATTTTGTGGCTTTAGTCTACATGTTCCTTGGCGTGTCGATCATTGCAGACCGTTTCATGGCATCGATAGAGGTCATCACGTCTCAAGAAAAGGAGATCACTATAAAGAAGCCCAATGGAGAAACCACCACCACCACCGTTCGGATCTGGAACGAGACCGTCTCCAATCTCACCCTCATGGCTCTGGGCTCGTCGGCTCCTGAGATCCTGCTGTCCGTCATAGAGGTCATAGGTCACGGGTTTGAAGCTGGCACACTGGGCCCCGCCACCATTGTGGGTTCTGCGGCATTCAACATGTTCGTCATCATCGGGCTTTGTGTGTACGTTGTTCCCGACGGCGAGACGAGGAAGGTCAAGCACCTCCGCGTGTTCTTCGTCACGGCCACCTGGAGTATCTTCGCCTACATCTGGCTCTACCTGATCCTGTCTGTGATCTCTCCTGGCGTGGTGCAGGTGTGGGAGGGGCTGCTCACCTTCTTCTTCTTCCCCATATGTGTGCTGTTCGCCTGGGTAGCCGACCGCCGCCTGCTGTTCTACAAGTACGTGTACAAGCGCTACCGCACTGGAAAGCAGCGTGGCATGATCATCGAGACCGAGGGAGACCGCCCACTTCCTTCTAAGGTATGCTCGGATTAATTAACACTAATAAACAAAGGAGCACATAAGGCACTCTATGTAGGCGGATGTGAGTTCATTAGTAACGTGTATCTAAAACAATTATCTCTATTACTGAATGGATTCCTGCCAAGGTAAACTCCTGCCATGAAGCATATCAAGCTACTGCAAAGACACACAGATATATTTTAATTATTGTAACTTTTTAATTTCCTGTTATGGTTACTATCTGATGCTCTTTATGATGTCTGACGCGGTGCATTGCACTGATCTAATTGCCTTTTTAGTATCACGCTATGTTTAATCACCACTCAGTTAATTAAAGTCTCTCAGTGTCAATGTTTGTGTTACCTTTTCTTTCATTTGATTAATAATAATCAGTGCTACATTAGTTCATGAAGAGCACTTTTATTTCAACTTCTGGCAAAAGAAAATCATTGCCCCACCGTGTCCCTCGTGTGAAAGAGGTAAAAAATAACGTTTTAAATTGCCATTGTGCTCAAAAGCTTAATGAAAGGTTGTCAATAAAGCTGTATTGAAAGGATAACAGGCTTTAATTGATAAAGAGAGCAAGCCCCTTATCCTCTGAGAAAAAACAATGGCTGATATACAGTATAAACTAGTATCTGCCTGCGATCACACATATATTTCTCTAAAGAAACATGTCATGAAACTGTAACTTAAGATATTAATTACCCCAGCAAACTACAGAAACTTTACATTTTCACATTTATTTGCATGCTCATTAGGGCATTGCATGAAAGCACTAGAAACTGTTGTGCCTTTAGATTCGACATGCTGCTCACAAGCCTTAAATCAATAGCACTGAATACATTGTTTCCTTTTCCTTTTTAAGGTGGACATTGAGATGGATGGGAAGATGCTGAACTCTCATGGTGTTGACTTCCTGGATGGACCATTGGGTTTGGATATAGATGAGAAAGATCTGGATGAAGACGAGACCCGCAGAGACATGGCCAAGATCCTGAAAGAGCTCAAACAGAAACACCCTGACAAGGAGGTGAGTAACAAAGTCAAAAGAAGGCAGCAGGAAAGAAACAACATTCTGTCACTGTTGTTCTTGTCAGGGTTGTTTTTCTCTATATAGGAAATGATTTGAGAAAAATAAGCAGCAACAGATGACGCACTTTCTATTTGCTTCCATTATCAGAGATTATAGTGATGAATGCAGCGCAGGTCTCATCACAGCCTCTCACATTCATTTGATAATGATACATCTACAAGGAGAACATTGGAAAGGAAACCGAGCCGGCACTGAATCAATATGTAAATTAAATGATAAACACAGATACTGTTTTGACATTGGCAATTCCTACAGTATTAAATAGCTTCTCTGGCTGACTACCTGCCACTATGATAAACATATGGACTCATTTTATTGCAGCATCCATTACCTACAGTACTGCATGAATAAGGAATGTTCGAGACCCACAGAAGAACATATGTAGTTGTTTTGTGTTGGCTCTGAAATTGGTCCTCGTTTCCCCACTACATTCTCATTTTGTTTGTGGTCTAGATATTAATACTGGTGCTGGCTGAACTAATAGTGAAGGGATGGATATAAACTATTGCTGATGACTCATTTAGCAGAATGTGGAAAGTTTCCTCTCTCTAGGAAGACGCACTCTCTTTATGTTACTATAAATAAAGTAGGAAAAATGCCCACTTGTTAACAAAGTGTTGAATGTAAATTGTTGACAATAGCCAGCAGGAATAGCCAGACGTTATCCATTGTTTTCCCTCTCTTTGAAACCAATTAGATAATTGAAATGTTGATCTAATGCTAATGTATTATAACATAGACTGTGATTAAGAACGGAGGTTAAACTCTTGACCGTAACTATGGGAAGGATATTTTACATCACCAAGTTTGGTCACCTGTAAAGACTCTTATTAGGTTAGTTGTTTCCACAATTAGGAAAAGAGTAATGGATCTGATCTCCTTGATGTATGTTCCGATAGAAAAGGAATACTAGAAAGGATGAAAAAGAAGGAATAGTGGGATCAACCCTGAAATCAAGTGTGTTTCTCAGGGATATGTAAGCAAGATGGATGGTTGATGACATGGGACCTGAACCTTTTAATGAAGAAGGACATCTCTACTAATGAAATTAACAAGCTGTTCATGTTTCATTCGACACGTCAAGTTCTGCTGTAATCTGATGCATATTAATCTTGCATATAACTAAATCAAAGATGCTGTTGATGTTAATTCTCTGTTGATTTATCGTTAGATCACTGTCCTTTCTATTCTAGGATTTAGCCACATGGCACACCATTAAATGTTATTTATCCAGACAAGAAAGATTAACCCTGAAATTCAGCCTGACAGTGTTCAATGATGTTCTCTCATTTAAGTAGACAAGTTGACAAAGAAGACATTCTTTCCCACCATCAAAGGTCTAGGGGCTAGTGTTTCTGAGGAGAAAATCCTTTCACACTGTTTTCTTGTTTTTTTCTCACCAGGTGGAACAACTCATTGAGCTTGCCAACTACCAAGTCCTGAGCCAGCAGCAGAAGAGCCGCGCTTTCTACCGATGCCAGGCCACCCGGCTGATGACAGGCGCCGGAAACATCCTGAAGAAACACGCCGCTGATCAGGCCCGAAAAGCCGTCAGTATGCACGAGGTTCGCTCTGATATCGGTGATAACGACCCCATCTCCAAGCTCTTCTTTGACCCCAGTTCTTACCAGTGCCTTGAGAACTGTGGCACAGTGGCGGTGACCGTGGTGCGCCGCGGTGGCGATTTGGGCAAAACGATTTCAGTGGACTACCGTACAGAAGACGGCACGGCCAACGCTGGCTCGGACTACGAGTTCACCGAGGGCATGGTGGTCTTCAAGGCTGGTGAGACGATGAAGGAGATCCGTGTGGGGATCATCGACGACGACATCTTTGAAGAGGATGAGAACTTCCTGATCCACCTAACCAATGTCAGGATGTTGACATCAGAGGGCGAGGAGCCAGAGGAAGGCGAGTCGGCAAATCACGTGGAAACAATGGCGTGTCTCGGCCTTCCCGCAACGGCGACCGTTACCATCTTTGACGACGACCACGCAGGTATCTTTACGTTTGAGGAGCCGGTATTCCACGTGAGCGAGAGCGTTGGCACCATGGAGGTCAAGGTACTGAGAACGTCAGGAGCCCGCGGCGTGGTAACGCTGCCGTACAAGACGGTGGAGGGAACAGCACGAGGTGGCGGAGAGGACTTCGAAGACATTCACGGTGTCCTGGAGTTCCAGAACGACGAGATCTTGTGAGTACATTTGATCTGTCTACCTCTAATTTGAATCATAACTGTTCATTTTTATTCGTGCAGATATTTATCAGCTTCAATGTCTTCATTATCTGCATGTTTTTTGATTTGTTTTCGCACTGTGTCAGTGGGATGTTGCAAATGTTATTGCTAGTGATGTGAGAAAGTGGAGGTGTGATGTGGTGGTCACGATGAGCGGCGAGGCGGACTGCTCATTCAGGACCAAATCAATAACTCCCCACCCCTTTTTTACCATGTCTCTACTTTCTATCTTACTCATTCATTTGCTTCTGTTCATTCCTCTTTGCTTTGAATTATGTTGTGCTGCTGTTTTAGTCTTCTGTAAAACTGTGTGTTTTTATTGATTTAAAAACTGTATTTCTGTACAGTTAGCACATTAATTAAGGTTAAGCCTGTGTGTTGCATAGCCAAGAAGATGGGAAACTGGCTTATTTATTGGACGGTTGACGGTTTGAATGTTAAGTAGACATATTGTCAAGACATGGACATTGAACAAGAAGTGTTGAAGTTTCATTAAGCAAGGCACTTAAGGGCAAACCTAGAGGAGCTGGTTGAAATACGTTAATAAAACAAGCAGCAGGGAATTGGGGCAACACGAAGAAGAAGATCTATCTTATCAAGTTTATTTGGATACACAAAGGCTTTTTGAAAAAAATGCCAGCTGCCCTTTTCGGTGTCTTTGATGCTGTGTGAGAACATCCCAGAGCAACTACTCACGCAGTGGAGCCTGTTTTTGTTTTCTTGTTCTGTATAGAAAGGACTTGAAACGCCATTTAAGGAATCCCTGCTGTTGAATACCGCTTCCAAAAGTTCAGAGCTCTTCAGTCGCGCAGGCCTTATTATCTGATGATGACTCGTAGTGAGGTCCGTGATTGCTATTTGACCACATTTCAGGAGGTGTTCACCACAGTGATGATGTTGCTCATAGCCAGAGACTCTGACATCTTGACCCGCTCACAGTGTGGGGAATTAACTCCAGCTTTCGGCCAAATGTTTGGACAATGCTAACCAAATCCCAAAGTCCTCTTTTGTTCTTTAAGTCTTTCATTGTTAAAACAACTGATGTGAATACATATCTGTGTGTGTTTCATCATCATTGGACTGTAGCTGGTGATACAACATGAAACTGACTCAAATGTTGACTCAGTGCTTGACTCAGATGTTATCAGTTCAGAAGCGATAGGTATTTAAAATAACAGCATCAGCATGAAAGCACATTTTGTATTTAGAATGCATTGTTTTATTTTAATGTCTTAACTTTCTTAATGTTTAGCTTCTCAACCGTAGACAACAATGTCATCATATTATCATATTTCACACAGACTCTTTATAACCAGTTAAACTGCCAGTAATAAGGCATTGTCTCAGATTTTCTTTGATGAAGACGACCGTTTAAAATGGATTTGTGTCCTTGTGATTGCTGTTGATTTTAAACTTTTTATATGCCGATGTTCTCAGAAGTTAAAGCTGCTACTTTTCACCAAACACTCAACTGGTGCAAAATATCTGTTTTCTGTTAAAACACTCAATAAGGTGGGCTGCTGGTCTCTCCCACTTTTTCCCTCATTCAGCAAGGTGGGCGTGTTCACGATGTCACAACAAATTACTGTTTGCAGTAAAAATCTTCTCAAGGTGGCCTTAAGGGCTTAGTGCTAGTGAGAATACAATAAAGTTCACAGCTTCTAGCAGTTGACCTCTACTGTTTATGCCACATCCAAGTTTATGGGAATAGTCTTTTTGAGAACGCCTCCGACCATTTGGACCAAATTATTTTCACAGAATGTAGGCTAAATTAATATATTTTGGAGGGACTTATTGGTCTTATTGGAATATATAATATGGTCGAGAACAGGTGCTGCCGCGGTGGAACTGTAAAGCTGATGTTGATATTGGATAAATGGACTATAGTAATAAAGTAAGCTTGCTTGTGTTCAGAGTTGCGAGGAGATGTAGAGCTCTGTCTGCTTTTAGCTGGCAGGCATTACTTCTAATGGCGCGTTTCCACTGCAGCGGGTAGCCCCGTTTAAGCGTCCTTAACCGTCCTCAAGCGGCCAGGCCGGTTTTTGGTGGCGTTTCCATATAGCCTAGTACCGGCCAGCGGGTACTTTTTCCCCTCTTTTTCCGGCCTCATAAAATCGTGGTTCCCTCAGACCAGGGCTGAACTAGTGACGTCAACACTCTCGACTGCTGATTGGTCAGAGAGAATCGTCACAAGATTGCGCGCGAGTTCATCCCTAGCGTCGCATATATATCTAGAAGCAAGCTTGCAGCATTTTTATACACAGCATTTTGTAAACGGAGGAGCTACAAAAATGGCTACTTCTAAGAAAAGCACACCGTGGTCGACCGAGGAGGTGACGACGTTCCTTCATCTCATTGGGGATGATAAAATCCAGCGGGAGCTCGACGGAACAACTCGAAATGTGAACAAAAACAAAGCCGATCGCCCCGCCTACACTGCGTTGCTACCCCAGGTCCTAAACTGTAATGGAAATGCGCCACGGCCTGGGCCGGCCAGCGAGGCAGCCCGAGGCCAGAGCGAGGACGCTTAGGGACGCTTAAACGGGGCTACCCCGCTGCAGTGGAAACGCGCCATAAGTTACAGTAGTGCTTACAGTGCGTGTTTGGAGATGTTCAGATTGCTTGTGAGAAGGAGTGTTGTAATGACATAAAACAAAGTGTGCTGTCATGATGAATGAATTGGAGAGATGCTGTCCTAGTAACAGTAGTCTAAAACGTTCTCTCTCTGTCTCCTTTTCTTCTGTTTTTGGTCAGATTTGAAGCAGATGTCTGCAAGGCTGGCTTTTTCAGCTTGTGGCAGACGGCATAGTTTCCATAGCGTATAGCTCTTACAGCCAGGACTAAGTGGGTTTTAATAACACTTGAAATCAAATGATGGACTGTCCTTCCGGTCTATCATGGTTACTGTGTGTGTATTATTGTATGTGTTTCCTAGGGGGAAAGACCCAAAGGTGGAGCAGAAGGACTGTAAACTATAGTTGTAGTGCCTGAAGTGGAAAGCATTTTGAACATAGCTACTTGTACTAAGACGCCATCTTGCTGCTCGATAATACAAATAAAAATATTCCTACAGAGTCCTTCAACAACCTAGTCTCTAATGTTCCCTCAAAATCATATCCGCTGAATTTCCCATATCATCTTGATTAGCTTAGGTTCAAATGGTACGGTGCTGTTAAATAAAGTAGCCTCAAAGAAAGAGTGGGGATTAGTTGATAGGGCATTACTGGTACAGGAGGGAATAGGAAAGTGCTGGGCTGTGCTTTGTCTTCCGGGTGAAGTTTCACACCTTTTAATGTGATGCAAGTTAAAAATAGCTGCTGTAGACGTAGCACCATTTACTTGGTTGTGCTGACAGAAACTGCAGGCTCTGTAAACTTGCTAAAACATTTAGGACACAGTAAAGAATATTCCCTCAGTATACTGCCACTTGCTGTTGTAAGTATTTATAGCCTAAACAAATTCCCAAGATGGGCTTATTTTTGAAAATGTGCATTCCCATAGAAATAAGCAGTATATGCCATCAGTGCTCCCTGTAGTGTGTCCCTACTGGGAATAGCAGAGGACGTTTTTGCTGCAAAAAGGAATTGCAAAATAGCTGATCTAAATAGGATTGCCTCCGGCTGATTCTACCCTGATTCTGTTTCTCTGAAGGAGAGAGAAGGAGGGGGGGAGTGAAGTAGGCAGGGTACGGTTATATAGATCAATAACTGTGAATGGAGGCAGTGATGGCAGGAGGAGAGGGGAGGGAGAAAAGTTTTAAACCTCTTAAAGTTTGAGACTTTTCAATTCCTACTTTTTTCCATTTATGTTCCTCCTTTATGGCATTTCTCTTTCTCGCTGTCCGTAACAGGATCTGTGCAATCTGTCTCCGGTATAGCTTGTAAAGAATGCAGGTGTGTTCTCTGAAAGATGTTTGTGTGTGTGTGTGCGTGTGCGTGTGCGTGTGCGTGTGCGTGTGCGTGTGCGTGTGTGTGTGTGTGTGTGTGGGAGAGTGAGGTGAGATAAATGGGGAGAGCACACTGACAACCCCCACTGCACTGTCAGTGTCAAATTATCTCTGTATGTCTCTTGAAGGCAGTATGTCACAGAAACAGCTCATTCCTGCACGTTTGGTGTGTGTGTGTGTGAGTGTGTGTCAGTGGGTTTGGTTGGCAGTTGTTCTCTGCTGTCCAACTTGTAGTGTAATGCACTGATCAGATGCCAGGTTTTGTAGTACTACTGCTACGCGTACTGCAATTACTGTGAATGCAGTTAGCACAGAACAGCTATTTGTATTAACACAAATAGCTGTTCTGTGCCATTTGATACCATTATAGCTGCATCTACCTGTATTATTATAACTGTACTGCTACTACGATACTAAAATGAATACTAAAATGTGACAGAAATCTCAACCACAACAAGGTATGTGGTTACAGTATCAGATATATATGAGACCTGATTTAATTTTGCTCGAAAACAAATGGACTAGTTTCACAAATACAAGTGGGGCTCGCCAGCATTCTTGAAATGAAATGATAGCTGTTCAAAAAACGGCTATATAAAGCAGGCTAAGAGCAATGAGTGCGGGGAAAAGTATAGGCTGGCTTTGTCAGGGGAATCAAGTATAAGTATAATTTGAAAATAATTACAAGATCAATAGAAACAACTCAATCAGGGGAAATTGGATTGGAAATAGGTACAGTAGAGTTATTTAGCTGCACTTAGCTTTGTGTTCCTTTCAGATATAAATCAAGTTTTAAGGTTTCCTACATGTTGCGTGACTTACATCTTTGTCCAGAGCACCTTCCAGCACATTCAGTAGCTCTATTTTTTATTATAGATGGTCCTTACGGAATTACCAGACCAATTAATACAAAATAGGTCAGCAATTCAACTTCTTTTTACATAGCTGTTTCATTTAAAACTGTATTTTTAGAGACCAGGACAGCCAGGTTTAATATTTCCAGTGTCATTGT